CAACGTGGCTGCGGACTGCTTCTTCGCCCCATCCGAGGCGCCCGGTTTCTTAGAGCGCACCAAGATCACGCTGCCGTTCGTCCTGGTCGTTGCAATTGGAACATTGGAACGAGACGAGAGATATCGCAAATCCAGATTTTCCACCCAATCTTCTACTGTATGAGTTAACGATGACTCTTGAATGGGTCAAGGCAGCAGCCCTTGGTGTTAACGAAGCATACGACTAAGTTTGCCAGGGCACTATTCCAATGGACGGAGAGCATAGTTGGTTCCAGGGCTGCTGCAAAGGAAGACCGAAAATTGGCGCTCGATGTGAATGCGTTTTCTATCGCTTTGTTGGAATCCGCGTCTGTGGATGGAGATGGAGCCGCGCATTCGAAATTCGCGCTTGGTTACTTTTCCGTCCATGTGATTGGCTGAATTCAAATTACACGCTATCTATTGGCTGTAAATTCGCCGAATATTTTAGCCAATCCTGTGCTAGACATCGAATTGTACCACACCGTGGTGTCCTGCTGCACGGCCAGGCTTGTACCGCCATGCTCCAGCAGAGGCCATGGCGGCTCGGGCGGTACTAGTACTTACAATGTTAGTATTTCATCTGTCGGAGATCCAGCCGGCAAAATCCCACGCGTGTGAAGCTTGATGGGACACGTAAAATGGCAGTAGCATGGCCTGGTAGATGGAGTTTTGGGCTGGCGCAACGCACCGGTAAGCTGTGTCCATGAGCCAAGGGAATAAAACAGCCTTGCCATGAGCTGAGCCGGTTTGTTGCCGGTCGTCTGGGAAGCTGGGACTCCCGGACGCCCGGCTTCCAGGGCCTCCAGCTGCCAAAGGCTCAGCGGAACAGGCGTCGATTGGTCAAATCGAGGCACCTTTACCCAAATTGGACCAATCGTGATATAGGACCACGGTAGCGAAACCTCTGCGCAAACAAGCCAGGTGGCCAATGCGAAATTGCGACGCCGCCGCCAACCGACTGATGCATCGCCTCGCTGGTGCGTCTTGCCTGCGCTACCCATGTCCAATTCGCTCACCGCATCTCGGACCTATGTAGCTCTGGCGCTACTGTGCGCAAGCGGCTGCGTACGCGCTGATGTCTGCGCGACTGCGTCCACGTGTCTCGCGAACGGTGTTGCCGCGTGCACGACCAATTGCCCGCCGTGCATCTACTCGACCGGCGGCAGCTTCACGTGCTTTGATCCAATTGCGTCCGGCTGCCCGTTTGGCGCACCGCTGGCTGTGTGTAGTACGTACATTGCTATATGCAACACTGTGCAGTCTCTTAGTTGCCTTGCACTCAGCCGCTTGCACTCGTAGACGGAAAGGGCATCTTCACGTCGGTCCCCGCGACGCCGTCCTCGACGCCGGCCACAACACCAAGCCCCTCCGCAACACCAGCACCGACAACATCCTTGCGCACGACAACGGCACCACCTACGGCCAGTCCGCTCAACCAGACCGCCTCGATTGCGACACCGGCAGCCTCCAATGCAACGTCGGCAAACACCACGACATCGTCGACGCCCAGCGGCACCATCTTTGGTGTCATTGGGTGTGCGATTGCGACCATTCTTCTCCTTGGTTGCCTCGCGTACCAGCGCAATGCGGCCCAGCAAAAGAACTTCAACAATAGCTGGACGAGCCCCACGACGCATCCTAGCTTCCTTATGACCATGGACGCGCCGCCGAAGACCAAGGGTGTAAATGAGACGACAGTTGCGCAGCGCGGCCTTGTCGCGCCGGCCACGACACCGTACGCCAAGCGCGACCGATCGTTCACAATGTCGCGGTCCAGCACGTCGACAGACGTCGAGCGCCGCGACTCGCTCGTGTCGATCCAAAGTACGTCCTCGAACGGGTACTCGCAAAGTCTCTTTGGGCGCGCGAAGGAGGTCGTCATTGGAAGCTCTGTCTCGAGCTCCGTCTCGAGTGTCTCGAGTATCTTTGAGATTGGCCGCCAGCACGACCGCGACGTGCTCAACGACAGCTTCATCACGTCTGGGCACATTGCCGAAGAAGAGGACGACGAGCCGTGGGGTCAACAGCGCGACTCGGTCGTCATCATGGACGACGGTCACCACGTGCTCATGGAGTCCCACGGCGACGACGACGACGACGATGTGTTTGACAAGTCAGTCGACGACATGCGCGAGACCAGCACTAGTGTCCGCCTCTTTAGCGAGTGCTCTGTGCTCTCCGACATGTCGGACATGCCCGACTTTGGCACTGCCCGTATTTAGTCGTCGTCGTACCCTTATTTTATTCTATCAGATTGTGTTGTTAATCGATGACTGCTTCCTTCAGGGAGCCGTTCGTGAGAGGCATCGACAACGGGTCCGATGATCGTCTGCAGTATGTATGTTCTTGGTGGGATCCTCGTCAGTCAAATGCAAGGGAAATATGAACAAGTTCTTATTTATCTTGGTCAAATGTGAGTCGATAAGCCACCGTTAGGCATGGCGCAACTGCGGTGCACAACAAGACCCACGAGCGTGAGCACGGTCAAGTACAAGTGCTGCTTGAGAAGCGACTGCGTCTCGGCCCCTCGGAGGTCCATGGTCTCGCTTTGCTTGCACAAGAGGTCCGTCAAGATCGTCGCCGTCGTCGATGATTGGTCGTCGACGGTGAGGCGGAAGGCGTCGAGGCTTTGCAAAATCGCCTCGCGGTCGCCGTGTTCAAAGATATGCAAAAGCAGACTGGTGCTCTGGAGGCACGCGACAGCTTCGACGTCGTTACGCACCTGGTCAGCGCACTTCTCGCTGAGAGGCGCCACGAAGCACGGGACGACGTCCAGGTCGACGTACGTGGCAGCGAGCTCGGTTGCTACGCCCAGCAT